AATGCAGGAGGAGGTGGCTGTTTCTCTAGGCAAACCCTGGCAGGAAGGCATGGGAAGCTACAGCAGCTCCTGGGGGCACTGGGACACACCACTGGGAACTGGGGAGTGCAGAAAGGGAAAAAGCTGTGCTCTCTGAAATCAGCTCCATCTTGCCCATCTGCTCTCCAGGGGCTTTGCCCCAGGCCTGGGCAGGGAAAGGGCTTTGCACCAGGGTGGCAGACCCAGGGCATCAGCAGAGCTGGAGGGCCTCATCCAGGAGAAGGAGCTGCTGCATCCCAGCCTGGGCACCACCAACTGAGCCAAAGAGCATCCAAAAAACATTCAGGAAACCCACATCTCCAGGAATAGCAGAGCCCAGAGCACACAGCAATGCTCTGCACAGGGGGCTTCTGTCCTTGCTCCAATTAGTGATGACAACATTCCCAGGAAAGCCCTTTGGAAGCCACGATTGCACTGGGAGCAAAACCGGCAGCACAAAACCACCTGGAGAGCACTGGAGGTTGCCTAGTCCCCAGCCCATCCCCTTTCCCACCCCAGATTCCCTCCCTCAATCCCTGGGAGCAGCAGGAGCAACCCCCACCATTCCCAAGCCTTCCAGCCCTGCTAAGCTAAGCAGCACCGTTCCCTAAGCTCTGTGCCTGCCTTTCTTCCCCAGCTGAAAGGGAGAACTAAAGCAGTTCATGTTTCTCCTCGGTCCCCAGTAAGCAGCTTTGGCTAACAGCAAGGCCTTTCTTCTGGGGCAGTGATGCTGAAAGCCTCCCAGCTCCCAGGGAATCATGTCAGGCATTTAGAGGCATCGATCCATCCAGCCCCTGCTCCTGGCCTGCTGCCAAGCAACTCAATATTTCTCCTTGCACAGGCAAAGGCTGAGGAAAATATGAATGACTAACCCTGATTAGCACCTGCATTAAACCTCCCTGGGGACACCCCAGCCTGGAGTGCATGGATTGGGAACATTCCTGGCTCTGCCAGCCCAAGGAGAGGGTTAATGATGCCCAATTCCTCTCTTCCCCCCCTTAAATAGCACTTTTCTTCCTGCCCCAGCTCTCAAAAGGCTCATTTGTGGCCTTGGGGATGGCAGGAAATCGCTGCAAAGCTGAGGCTCAGGGAGCTTTGTCCTGGCAGCTTTTCACACTGACTCAGGGAGGTTGGGACGGACCTCCAGGATCAGGGAGTTCAACCTGGGACTGAGCACCACCTCAGCAACTAGAGCAACTGGCCACATCCAATTGAATCACAGAAGCTACAGAGCTGGAAGAGACCCTTGAGGATCATCTAGTCCAACTCCTGCCCTGCACAGGAGACCCCAACAACCCACCATGTCCCTGAGAACATTGTCCAAACACTCCTTGAGCTCTGTCAGGCTTGGGGCTGTGACCTCTGCCCTGGGGAGATGTTCCAGTACCCAAACATCATCTGGGGGAAGAACCTTGTCCCAATATCCAACCTAACCCTTCTCTGACACAGCTCCAGCCTGGGGTCTTGTCACTGGTTGCTAGAAAGAGTTGTTCCCTGAACACCTAAAGGGATGGTGAATCCACCTCCACCCTGACAGCCCTTTCCATGAAGGAATTCCTTCTGTTGCCCACTTTTCCCCAAGCCAGTGACCTCCACATAGTGATTTATCTGCTTAGTTAACTGCCTGACCTTCCAAGTCCTACTTAACACAGCATAATAACCAAACCCAATCCAGCAGATCAGATGACCCAAGATAATGGGAGAGTGATCAGGAATGAAACAGCTTCCCTAATCACTGAAGGATTTCAGAGTAACTTGGACCTGACTGAGCTCATTCATGAGGCTCAGTCATAGAATCACAGAATTTCAGGGGTTGGAATGGACCTTATAGATCATCTAGTCCCAACCCCTGCCCTGGGCAGGGTCAGCTCCCACCAGAGCAGGTTGGTCAAGGCTCATCCAACCTGAGTTTGAACACTGCCAGGGTTGGGACAGCCACAGCCCCCCCTGGGCAACCTGGGCCAGTGTCTCACCACCCTCACAGGGAAAAACTTTCATCTAATATCTAACCTAAAGGTCCCCTCCTTCAGCTTGAACCTGTTACTCCTTGTCCTAGCTTCCAGGAGAATCTGCTCTATGATCTTGCCAGGCACAGAGGTGAGACTGACTGGTCTATAGTTCCCTGGTTCTTCCGCTTTCCCCATTTTAAAAATGAGGGTTATATTTCCTTTTTCCAGTCCTCGAGGACTTCACCTGACTGCCACGAGCCAACTACACCTGCCAGTTCCCTCAGGACCCGAGGATCAGGCTCATCAAGCCTGAAACCCAGTCTGTCCAAACCCAACCCTGAGTCTCTGCCACAATCACAGAGGTTCAAACCCAATCTCACAGCAGCACTGAGGTGGCTCTACACCCCATCCCAGCTCTTCCAGGCAGGATTTGGGGCTTTTTATTGCCTGGTTCATTAGTAAACAAGATCTGTGCAAAGGCAGCTCTGGAGCTCACACCTACATGGGGTTTTTAAAAGTATAAAGGGAATAAAGCCATGAGGACACCAAAAACTGGGGGGAAAAGAAAGTAAATGGGACTTACTGCACTTGAGTCTCGCTCTGGCAGGAGATGTGATGGCAGAGGTGAGGTCATAGTCAAAATAAAGAGAAGACAGAAGATAAAGCAAGTTAGAACAAATCTTAAACAGAACAATAAACCAAGAAGCTCCTCATGGTCTTAACTCCAACCCTCTCTGGGCTCAAACCCTCCTGTTCATCCAGCTCCAGCTGCTTCCTGCTCCTTTCTTTTATCCATGTGAATTATCTGGCAAAACACAGCTGGAAATGCCCTGAATCCCAAGGGAGTGGCAGTAGCATCAGGGCTTGTCCCCAGAGACAAAACCCCCAGATGTCCATGATCCTGGAGCCTCTGCCCTGGAGCCAGGCTGGGAGAGCTGGGGGTGTCCAGCCTGGAGAAGAGAAGCTCCAGGGAGACCTCAGAGCCCCTTCCAGTGCCTAAAGGGGCTCCAAGAGAGCTGCAGAGGGACTTGGGGCAAGGAGTGGAGGGACAGTACACAGGGCATGGCTTCAAACTGGAAAAGGGAGATTTGGGTGGGATATTGGGAAGAAATTGCTCCTTGGGAGGGTGCTGAGGCACTGGCACAGGATCCCCAGAGCAGCTGTGGCTGCTCCATCCCTGGGAGTGTTCCAGGCCAGGTTGGATGGGGCTTGGAACAACCTGGGCTAGTGGAAGGTGTCCCTGCCCATGGCAAGGGGTGGAACTGGAGGTCCTTCCTTGAGGTCCTTCCAAACCATTCCAGGATTCTATGCCTCTAACTTCTTTGCCTAATTACTAGAGGTTCCCCATCCTTGGACGTGTTCCAGGCCATGCTGGATGGGGCTTGGAACAACCTGTGCTAGTGGAAGGCATCCAGGGGTTGAAACTGGCTAACACTGCCTCCCCACCCAGATTATTCCAGCACTCTGGGCCAACCTTCCCCAAGTCTTTGGGGCAAACCGCTCATGTTGTGCCCCGAGTCTCACCTCTGTGGTCCAGGTCGTGGTGGTTCTTCTCTAATTACTAGAGGTGCCCCATCCTTGGACGTGTTCCAGGCCATGCTGGATGGGGCTTGGAACAACCTGTGCTAGTGGAAGGCATCCAGGGGTTGAAACTGGCTAACACTGCCTCCCCACCCAGATTATTCC